TCGGAAGTTCAAGATCTTCCTCAGCAATGTTTCAGTTCTGAAGAAAGCCTGGATTACAGAAGGCCCTATCTCCTCAGGTGGTGGTGGCCCACTCCTTTAATCCCAGCACTTAGGAGACAGAGTCAGGCACATCTCTATAAGTTCCAGGCCAGCCTGCTCCACAACTACTCCACACTATCTGGAAAGTGAGGGGAAATACCAGGTCAGACAGCCAGACAGCCTGAAAGGATGGAGTTCTCCAAACACAAGAGGCTGCATTCTGGGGAAGGGGTGCACCACTTTTCAACATAAATAAATACCTTTTTAAAATCTCCTCGAACTTTTCTCTAAATATCTCCCTCAACACTTAGAGAACTCAGTGACCTCCCAGTCATTGAAAGATTAAATCCAGGAGCCAAAGAGAAGGCTCGGTGGTTAAGAGCACTGGCAGCTCTTCCAGAGGTCTTGGGTTCAATTCCCAGCACTCACACGGCAGCTCACAACTGTGTATAATTCCAGTTCCAGGAGACTTGACATTCTCACACAGATATAACATGCCGACAAAATACCAATGCACATTAAAATAAAAAGAAATAAATTATTAAAAATTTAAAAAGAGGGGCTGGAGAGATGGCTCAGTGGTTAAGAGCACTGGCTGCTCTTCCAAAGATCCTGAGTTCAATTCCCAGCAACCACATGGTGGCTCACAACAATCTATAATGAATGATCTGGTGCCCTCTTTATTTACACTGTATATGTAATAAATAAATAAATCTTTAAAAAAAAAAATTTAAAAAGAAAAAAAAACCCCAAAAAACAAAAGACGGCCAAACACCAAACTCTAAAAACTGCCCAACAATCCACAGTGGCCATCTCCTTTCCCTCTCCAACTGAAGCAAAACTTTTCTACTTTTGGCCAGGCCAAGCTCTCAAACCTAACACAGAACCTCAACTTCCAGCAGCTCTTATGAGCCTCTCCTTTTCCACCAAACAAATTATTTCTTACAAATATTTTTACTTTGTAAACCACAAAAGTCAAGGAACAAGTTTGCAAATATATCCATGCCCTAACTTCCCCTGTCCCATTCCCATGTTATATATAATATTACACACCACTTACAGACACCAAGAACACCAGATTATTTTCTACAGGTTTCTTCTTATTTCTCATAATCACTTTGCTTAATAAGGGTTTTAATAGGGGCTGGAGAGATAACTCAGATGTTAAGAGCACTGGGTTCAATTTCCAGCACCCACACAGCAGCTCACAACTGCCTATAACTCCAGTTGCATGGGATATGGCACCCTCATTCATGTAGGCAAACACCAATGCACATGAAATGAAAATAAATTATGTTTTTAAAATAGAAGGCTGTAATAGCTCATCTATGAAAGTCCATTATTCCATTTAAATGATGCTTTACCTTCTAATAATCTGAAGAACTCTCTTGGATGCTAAGTTTCCCTAACGTCTAGAGACTTGCCCCCCTATTGTCCTAATGTCCCAAGTACAATGCCACATCATCCTATATGTAATTCCATATGGTCCAGAAACTCCAAGGAGCACTGTCCTGATTGCTTCTCTGTGGCATGAATCTGCAGAAGACTGTACTTACCAGTTAGGTAGGAGAGCCACAGCTTCCTGTTACTGTTATGCCTAGATGGTGGGGACCCCCAATAGACCACCACGGAGACTGAATTCCATATAAAAGCCAAGAGCTTTTATTTCAAAGCTGAGAGCATGGACTCTCTGTCCAAAAAAGTGGTGAGAGCAGAGAGCCCCAACCCCAGGCGGGGGTAAGGTTTTTATCATAGCAGAGGTTGGGGTGAGGGGATTTCTAGGGTTCAGGACCCTGATTGGCTAACGTGCTTGGCTAGGGGATCTGTTAAAGGGAACTGGGTGTGTTCTAGGCTCAGGGACATCTGGAGTTCTTACTTAATCTTATCTAAGGGTTGGTACATATTAGGATGTCTGATACTTCCCCCTAGATGCTGACCCATCCCTGCTAGCTTATGACTTTTCCTGGATGTGGGTGTTGCCTGCTGGTAAGCCTGTCACAGAAGCTGTGTCTGGGTCTCTAAGCCCGTCATGGGAGCTGTGTGGTCAAGCTGTTTTGCAACCTCCCTCGCCCCCACAATTACAGTCTGTTCTTCAAATTTTGTGCGGCTGATAGACTTCCAGAGATGCCCATGTATAAATATGGGTCTCTCCTGGAATTCCATCCTTATCTCTTGGTTACACCTTCAAGTATTTTGTTTGAAAGCTGAGTCTCCTTGGTTCTACAATCTTCTGCCAGATAGTATCTATTCACTGACTTAAAAAAAGACTTAAGAAAATATTTAAAATAGCACTCAGGAAGCAGAAGCAGGTTAATCTTATCAGTTTCAAGCCAGCCTGGTCTTTATTAGAAGACCCTGATTCCAAAAACAAACAAGCACAAAGAGCAAGAATGAAATTTCTGCTAGACCATCTCTACAGCTTCAGCAAAGGCCTTCACTGGAAATCAGATCCCAGGCTAGAGAGCATGCTGATTTTGAGATGGTTCCTGCATAAAGGGATTTTAAATACCTGGACAAAATCTGCAGATGAAGGACACAGAAAGGCAGAAAGAAGAATAGAGTATAGATAGAGCCCATGTCCTGGTGCAGAGGCAGAAGTGAAAGCTGACTAATTATACCCACTGGTCTGCCATTCATCTCACACTATCCTGATAAACGTTTATTTGCAGCCCATGGTAATAGTGGAATAGTCTAAGCAAATGAAGCTAGAGTCTCTGCTTGCAGAAGTGTAGGAGGAGAGGCTGCCAGCTTCCAAAGCTGAGCTTCTATATGCCCTATGCCCCTTTCCAGTGTACTAACTGGCCTATGCAGGCTTCCAGAGTTGGGTAGTTGTGAAAGACAGTGTTGTGGGATGTTCACCAGAGAACACCGCTAAGACATAGGCTTAAGCCAATAGAAAGTCTTTATTAGCTGGTCTTTGACTATGCTTAGTACTCGGGATCCCAGAGTAGAACAGAGCCTTTTTCAGGATGAGTTTTTAAGTACAAAAACAATGCACTGGTGTCAGAGCCAGCCAAAGAGTCAAGTAGGGTAGCTGAGTAGGGCCTGAGGCTGAGAAAATTACAAGGACAGAACAGATGGAGAAAGAAAACCAGAGGGGATTGCTCTCAGTCAATATCAAGCAGCCTCGACTTTATTTCACAGCCAGCTTATACACAATTTGAAAGGCAGAAACACAGCAAAGCACAGTACAGATAATTAGACTCTATCTTAACCACATTACTGGCCTGTCCTTGAGTCTCAGAGCAGGCAGTCTTGTTATCTCATCATGTGCCTCTGGCTAGCAGCTGCAGCAGCCTACCTAGATTTATGCATTAGTAGATAATTTGTTCTTTCCCATGGGCTTATTAAGAGCATTCTCCCAGCTTCTCAGGGAGACTGGAGCAAGCAAGCTTGAACTCTAATGACTTATAAGTCAGAATGGACTACAGATGGAAACAGAGTCACTTTATGGGCTCCCACACTCTGGGTTGACGTGCTTCCGTTAACAAGAACAGTTAGCCAGAAGTAGAACTACAGACCTAAAAAGCAAGGTTAGTACAGTTTGAGACTTTCCCAGAACTGTATGGACTTTGATGGATTAGGCCTTTGTTTTAGTTTTGGCAGGTGCTG